TAGCAAAAACTGTTAGCGAGCAAACACACTTGCGACAACACAAGACCTCCATTTGCACTGCTGATGGTAAAAACCAGATATTTTTTTGCACACTTGAGTTGGATGTCAAGTACAAAGGCAAAACGGAGTCCATAATTTTTTTTGTTATACCCAGTATGTCCCACGACATAATCTTAGGTGTTGATTTTTGGATAAAGTTCCAAATTGCGCCGAGTATTATCTCAGAAATTTCACGTAACGACTCAGATAATTTGAATGAGAATAGTATTTCGGTAACTCTAGGGCAGCAACAACAAGTAAGTTTGATTAAAAATAGATTCCCAAGCTATGAGAAGGAAGGATTGGGAAAAACGTCCTTATTAGAACATGAGATACAACTCGAACCGAATGTCCGTCCGATTAAGCAGCGTTACTTTCCAATCTCACCAGCTGTCGAGAAACTCGTACATGCCGAAATTGATGAGATGATCAGATTAGGTGTAATCGAAGAAGCCCCAAATAGTCCATGGTCCAGTCCGGTAGTGCTAGTGAAAAAGCCGAATAAAGTCCGTCTGTCCGTCAAGAAAAGTTAATAGCGTTACCGTTAAGGACGCGTATCCTCTCCCGCATATTGATGGTATTCTTAGTAGAATACCCAAGGCAAAATTTATTAGTTCACTAGATTTGCGTCGCGCCTTTTGGCAAATCGCACTGGCTGAACAATCCAGAGATTACACCTGTTTCACTGTCCCCAATCGTCCGCTATACCGATATCGTGTTATGCCCTTCGGCCTCTGCAACGCCCCACAAGCACTTTGTCGCTGGGCCGCGTAATCCCACCCAAACTGAAGAACCAAGTATTCGTATATTTAGATGACGTTTTAATCGTGTCGGAAGATTTCGACACGCATATGTCCGTCCTCGCTAAAGTTGCCCTCCAACTCAGAACAGCAGGCTTAACAATTAACGTAGATAAAAGTAAATTTTGTATTAAAGAGGTGAAATATCTGGGGTACATTGTTGGCAACGGAACGTTACGAATCGATCCAGACAAGATCTCGGCTGTTTCTCAATATCCAATCCCAACAAATGTAAAACAAGTCAGGAGATTTTTAGGAATGGCGGGTTGGTATCGGCGATTTGTCGATAACTATGCCGCGCTAACAACACCACTCACCAATCTGTTGAAGAAAGGGAAAGGTTTCCATTGGAATGACGTTGTTGGGCCTCGTTGTTGGGCCTCGCCTTCGTTCTCTTAAAAGAAAAACTATGCTCAGCCCCTGTACTTGCAAGTCCAGATTATAATAAGCCCTTTGTAATCCAATGCGATGCTACNCTCTTAAAAGAAAAACTATGCTCAGCCCCTGTACTTGCAAGTCCAGATTATAATAACCCCTTTGTAATCCAATGCGATGCTAGTAAGCTAGGTGTTGGTGCGGTGTTGGCACAAAAGAACGATGACAATATTGAAGTGCCAGTAGCTTATTTTTCCCAAAAACGAAATAAGGCGCAAAGTAATTATAGTGTCACAGAACTTGAATGTCTTGCCGCAATACTTAGTCTGAAGAAATTCAGAGCCTACGTGGAGGGGCAAGACTTCACTATAGTTACCGACCACGCAAGTTTGCAATGGCTTAAGCGACAAACTGATTTATCCAGCCGACTAGCCCGTTGGTTCCTCAAACTGCAAGGATTTAGATTTAAGATTGAACATCGAAAATGATCACTTAATGTGGTACCTGACTGCTTATCTAGACAGAATTTTGATGAAATAGCTGAAGTACGCAATATTGAAGTCCATCCGTGAGTGAATCTACAGTCGTCCGAGTTTATGCCCGAAGATTATCAAAAATTGATAACTCACGTCCGAGAAAACGCCAGTTTACCTGATTTACAGACAATCGACAACCACGTCTCTAAAAGGACGGAACATCCAGATGGCAACCCGGAGAAGGAATCGTTTAACTGGAAGCTTTGGATTCCCAAATCTCTTGTTCCGGACGTCATCAAAAACGCACATTGCCCGCCAAATAAATGCCACCGTGGCATTGCTAAAACACTGGAGCGATTGCGATGTAATCTGTAATGGAAAATNCCACGTCTATAAAAGGACGGAACATCCAGATGGCAACCCGGAGAGGGAATCATTTAACTGGAAGCTTTGGATTCCCAAATCTCTTGTTCCGGACGTCATCAAAAAAGAGCATTGTCCGTGGCATTGCTAAAACACTGGAGCGATTGCGATGTAATCTGTATTGGCCAAATATGACAGTTGACGTCAAAAACTATGTTAGCCAATGCGAAACATGTCGACAAAGCAAGGCCCCAAATGTGACGGTAAGACTNAGAGCATTGTCCGTGGCATTGCTAAAACACTGGAGCGATTGCGATGTAATCTGTATTGGCCAAATATGACAGTTGACGTCAAAAACTATGTTAGCCAATGCGAAACATGTCGACAAAGCAAGGCCCCAAATGTGACGCTAAGACCACCAATGTCCGCACAGTACACGGTACAACGACCGTTCCAGAAGTTATATGTTGACTTCCTTGGACCTTACCCAAGATCCAAACAAGGCAACATAGGAATCTTCATAGTCCTTGATCATTTGACAAAGTTTCCCCTATTGAAAACTGTCAAAAAGTTTAGTACATCAGCTATATGTGAATTTTTACATGAGAAGGTTTTTAATATTTTTGGAACTCCCGAAATAGTAATGAGTTATAATGGAAAACAGTTCAAATCCTCGCAGTTTAACACGTTGTTGTCGGCACGGGGAATTAAACATGTATACACCGCTGTATATAAGTTATGTCAACGCGGGTTGACTTAAACAAAAAAATATATTTTTTGGGGAGCTAAAGGCTCCTTTATTGATTGAATTCCAACTTAGAACTAACTTACAAAAATAATTATTTCCTAAACCTAGCTTACGCTGCTGCCGCTTCTGCCGTTGGTTCTGCTGTTGTTTTGCTGACGGCGCGGTTCCCACCGATCGCCGCATTCCTTCTTGTTTGTATGTTAGGTGTTCTATTGCTGATGAAGTTAGCTTGCCGTTTTGCTGATGGCGCGGTTCCCACCTGCATTCCTGTTTGTTTGTTAGGTGTTGTATTTCTGATGAAATTAGTGAATGCAGGTATGTGCAACAGGGTGTCGTTTTGCACTTAGGAATTTTGTTGTCAAACCTAAGTTTTGTGCATGCGCCATGCTAACAGC